CAGCCTGGGAGTTGCCCAGCACGAGGATATACCCTATCAGGCTGTGGCTAACATCTGCGAGACATGCACCTGCCTGAGTGCCCAGGACAACAACCATCGCCTGCACCAGACGCTCAATTGTGCGATGAAGAATTTCGGGCATATACTGGCGCGCTGGCCACCGGAGTTTGGCAGCCAGCATGCGGGCATGGAGATTGTCGCCTCGTATTCGGGCAACAAGATTCGGCTGCTGCAGCAGCTGCCGGCGACAAATGCAACGCTGACCTTTTCGTGCCGCCACTGTGGCATGCAGCAGCTCCAGGAGCCGCTCTTTATGGACGTGCCCAATGTGGAGGGTCTGTACCTTAGCTGGAATGAGATCGCAGATGATGCACTGCACCCGGCACTGTTTCGCGGCCCTTTCAATGCGACCAGATATGAGCCCATTGCACTGAAGGATCTTGATCTCAGCCACAATCGCATATCCCGCCTGGATCGCAAGCTCTTCGAGCATACGCCACAGTTGCGCAAGCTGGCGCTGGCCCATAATCGACTCAGTGTGCTGGATGCGGCCACCACAGCGTCCCTGGCGTCGATCACAAATCTGGAGCGCTTGGATCTGTCGCACAACGGTCTGTTGACGCTGCCCGCCGAGCTCTTTGCACACCACAGCAATCTCTACCAGCTGGACATTTCTGGCAATGAGTTTGCTGTGGTGCCAGCCAGCATACAGCAGCTGGGCAAGAGTTTGCTGCACTTGAATCTGGCGGGCAATCCTCTGGCCAAAATTGACGCACACAGCTTTCAGCAGCTGGACGCACTGCGTCGCCTGAACATCAGTGAAATAGCCATGCTGCGCAGCATTGAGCTGGGCGCCTTGCAGCTGCCTGCCTTGGAGCAGCTGGACTGTGCACGCAATCCCAAGCTGGAGCGCCTGGAGCTGTCGGATCTGCGGCATAGCCGCAATCTGACACAGCTGGACATCTCACAGAATGCCCTGACCACGCTCACGCTGAACGTGAGCGGCAACGCAACTCAAGCGAGCTGGCCGCGCCTGCGCAGCCTGGCCATTGCCGGCAATCCCTGGTACTGCAGCTGCGAGCTGCTGCAGGCGCTGGAGCATGCCGGTGCACCGCAGGTGCTGCTCCAGCCAGCCAGTGCTGTGGCCCGCTGCGATACGCCCTATCTGCTGGCCGGTCTGCCGCTGACCAATTTGACGGCGGACCAAATCTGCAATATGGTCATACCCAAAAAGTATCGCGCCGTCGAGGATGATCCGCCACGATTTCTGCGTCGTCGCTATATCATACTCACTGTCATCATTGCCAGCGTTGTGGTTGTCGCCGGCCTGATCATTGGCTTCATTGTGGTCTGCGTGCGACGCCGTCTCAAGGGCAACGACTACGGCGTCCAGCCCATACGCTACACCAGTGTGCGCGGCAGCAATCTGTCCGCCTTCTCGCAGCTGCAGCCGGCTTCGGTTACCAGCAAATTCAATAATGCTGCCGCCAATGCAGGCACCACAACGGGTGCACCCAATGCCTGAGCGGGCGGCCTCCTTGTTTTTGTCCACTCCCACCCCCCTTTTTTTTTACGCCTGCTGCACGTACCATGAGCCAAAGATGTCCACGAAAGTGTTGCAGCCACTACGAAAACAAAGACTTTGCGTGCATGTTTATGCTGTATACATATATATATATATATATATGCAGACATATATATACATACATATATAGACATATGCATATTTAAATCGGAACTCCCCTGAAGGAGTCCTGCCACCATATCCCTAGTGTCTAGTGTTGCCATCGCTGTTTGTATTGTACTTAAGTTTCGATAGCTTTTAATTACTGTGAAATAAAATGCATTTATATAAATATTGCAGAGATATTTTTACTTACTTCTCTTACAAAGATATTTGTATTTTTATTGTTTAATGTTTTTCAACCATTTTAAATATATTGTATATTTTTTTAATCCAGTTTTGAGTCCATAGAAATCCTTAGTCCAACAAAAAGTCTAGCATCTGAGATTTATTTCTCCATATAAACAAATAAACACAATAAATACTGTGATCGCGTTTAAGAAGTTGGTGCTTCTTTTTTGAGAATTTCATATTCACATGTTTTTATACATAAAAATTGAAAAACTCCTACTAAGCATAGAAAACTAAAGCTTCCAGAAATTACAATTTATGAATATGAATTCCCTCTAAAAATAGCGCGAGCGAGCTCTATATCATCAAAGCCTCTAGATCACACGATCACAGTTTATACAATATGAATTGATGTTGGTTTTGTATCAGCAAAATCCCAAATATTTTGAGATTCGACAATTATTTACTGTAGGACTTGAGCATACTAGAACTTAGTACAATATTCTGTAAATTGGTTTATTAATTTGAAGTGACTTTGGATGTAAAGGGGGAGTAGAAAACAATAATAGAAATCGAAACGATCAGAAGTTAATAAGAAACTATTGTGGAAGGCGCTTTCGACGCAGCTGGGCCGCTTATCTCATACATTATAAAGATGAAATGATAAACATTGAGATAATGTGACTAACACTAGCTAATTGGGTCTAGCACTCGCTTTCCAACAGCTCCTCCTCCATAGCAGCTGTTGGCCGGGCCAGCTGTTCGTTTGATTTTTGGAGCAGCAGCTGATGCATCTGTGGATTCAGCTGGAACAGATTGACGGCTTCTTTTTGGGCGAGAAATTGTCGCATTTCGGCAAAATTATCGCGTTCTTTAATCTGCTTGCTGCGCGCATCAGCTGCCTCATCCGCTGAGTCAGAGTCAGAGTCGCTGGCATCGTCATCGCTGTGCCTTGTGGCATTTGTAAGGCGATTGTCCTGTGGCTGTTCTAGCTGCTCCGCTTTGCCAAACAGCGCATCCACATTGATGCCCTTGGCGGTGAGCACTTCGCGTTCCTTTTCCAGCATAACACGGCGTATGGGATCTATGCGATCCTTGAGCTGCCTGAGCACAGGCTTGAATTTGCTCTTGGTGATGCGCTTCTCGAAATTGAGCAGCTCCTTTTCGGGTGTGGAATATGGTGCTTTATGGTCGTTCTCGTACTGCCGCGCATCCAGCTCATCGTACATATATGCATAGAAGTCATCGCACTTTTGCGGCTCGCCGGGATTCTGCGAGAACTCGACACGTAAAATGCTGTCCGGAAACTCTTGCTCCTTGGTTGGCGACTTATTTTTACCGGGCTCATCGATGCCCAACCCTAATTTGCTATTCAGAAACTTGTTGTAGACCAGCATCAGGCGCTGGAAATCATCACAACAAACGGCCAAAGCATTCTCAATGCCACGCATATTGTGCGCCACGGCCACCAACTGGTCCGCATTGTTTCTGTTGGCTGCCTCGGCTGCTGTCAGCTGCTGTAGCGTGACATCCAGTGCCTGGCACTCGCCGGCCACGGCCACCATGCAGGCGCTAAGCTTCAGGGATGAATGCTGCAGTACAAAAATGGGACCGCTTGGTTGTTGTTGGATTTTGGTCGCGTGCAGTTGGGCGAGCTCCAGTTTCTTTTTGTTTTGCATGGCCAGCGACAGATTATGGAAATGCTGCTCTTCCTCCTGAACCAGCTGTCGCATCAGTTTGTCTATTTTCACGAGATCTTCGCTCAGCTGCGAAATGGATGGACGCGTCATAATGGTGAGCGCCAGACGCAGCAAATACTGCGACTGCACATAGGCGAATATGTTGTGAAAGTCCTGCAGCATGCAAGAGATTAGTAGGGCATAAAAATGGTAATACACAAACGCACCTTAATGTGCTTCGGGCTGTAGTCCGTGACATTGTTCTTAAAGTATTCACATTCGCGCAGCTCCTCCATGGGCGCATAGTAGGGTCCATATTTGGCTGGTAGGGGATAATCAACTTCCAGTTTTCGTGTGGCATCGTACAGTATTTCGGTAACCTCCTTAGCCGCTGTTATGCAGTCCCAGGCGCGCTCTATTTGACGTGATCTGCGCGGATAGCCAAGTTAAGGACATTCGTCTTCTTGTATTATTGATGCACTTACTCAATTAACTCTGCCTGTTTCATAATGATAATTTCTTGAAAGTAGGTCATGTTGCGTCTAATGCAATTGCCAAATTCATCAATGGTCTTCACCAGCTCCTCTAGTTTGCGCTCAACAATTTTGTTGCGGCACACAAAGACGCTCTTGACGGCATATAGGGCGCCAAAGGTGCTCGTCAGCAGGACGGAGGGCATCAGCGACAGTCGCAGACCACGCGGCGTTACCAGGTGCTGCAGGACGGTGCCGCTCAACAGTAGGCAGGCATTCCGCGTGGTCAGCAACTGCCGGCCGGGCGCCGCTGCCTGATGCTGTTGCATGCACTGCTCAAGCGCCTCGACATGATCAACCAGCAGACGTTTCGAATAGAGTATCCGCTGCAGCAGACGATCTGTTATGGCCTATACGAGTGTAGCGCATCGTTAGAGGTGTTTGTCTATATTTATATTTTCGAGACGGCTCTCACCTGTTTCTGCTTCAGCTCATTGACCAGTTGAGGTCGCTCGAAACATGCCTGTGCGCGGTTTGAGTGGTTACACTGATTAGTCATATAACATTAAGTTTTTTCTGTGTGTGTGTGTGTGGCTTACCGTTAACCTATCCATTATTATTTATTTTAAATTTATTTTACACTGCAATTCAATGTTTTATTGCATTGGCTGTTGACAATATTTACGTTGCGAAAAGAACCGAGCTGATATCTCGCTCTAACATATAGCATTTTCCATGCGCTAATCAAAACAAACGTAAACGCAAGATGAGTACGTAGGCGCGATACTGCGTAACGTAAGCGCAAGACTGAGGGGCTTATCGACACATTAAAACGATAAATAGGATTTAAATGCAAGAACCGGTAAATTTTGAACTAAACATTCCAGACTGAAATGAATTAAATTTTGGATATATTTGAATACATTAAGCAAGTTTTCTATTTGTCAAACAGGAAATCAAACAAAAATTTCTATTTGCAAAAATGGTCTTACACATATATATAGATTAGTATTTACTGCATTAACAAAATATTATAATTAATAATACTACCTAATACTTAGTTATTCGCACGCTCCCTACTAGCACATAGCATTAAGTACCACCTTATAACTAACAATTAAACAATCAAAGTCCTGATTGATGCAACCTGCAGACAATTATAGCTGCTGATAGGCAATAATTATCCAATTTATGGCTGGTGTTAGATTTGCATATAAGGACGCATCGCACAGCACGTCCTTACAGTGTTTTCTACAATTTCGAAATGGACGCAGTAGATGAGCCCATCAAAATTGAGCAGTTCCTGCAATTCCAAAAATATCAGCAAGTTTTTCATTTTCTGCACTTTCAATTCGTGCGAAATGCGGATGGACGCTTGATTAACAAGTCGGAATTGGTTTTCCGTGCGGGTTTCCTGTTGGATGTCTGGTTTTTTGGCATCAATTTGTTTGACATCCTAAGATCGATCCAGCTGGGCGAGACCTCCCATCAGAATCTGCCCGTGCTGAGCATATCGATATATTTCACAATTCGGGGCATAATGATGTTTATCAAGCGACACGATATTGTCGATTTTCTCAATGTGCTGGACCGGGAATTTCCCAAGGATTTGGTCTCGCAAAGGGTGCTTAATGTGCCGCAGGTGTTCGAGCGCTATCACCGGCGACACGGTTACGTGGGACTCTATGCGAATTATGCACTACCCGGCTTCTGTCTCACACCGGTCGTCACATACATTCTCACCTATGAGGACAGGAATGCGCCCATATTGCTGGATCACCAATTGCTTGGCGGCTGGCTGCCCTATGACCTGCGGCAGAATCATTTAGTCTATCCGTTGGTGTGGCTCTACGATGTCTACTGCATGCTGGTGGGCGTGACCTTCTTCACCAGCTTCGACACCTTGTTCAACACGATGCAGGCCCAGGTCATCATGTATCTGGATTGCTTTTGCAGGCAGCTGGAGGCGCTCAATGCGGTCGATAGCTACCAAGCTATGGATGAAAGGCAGTTCCATGAGCACATCTGTGGCCTGATCCGCCGTCACCAGCAGCTCAATTTGATATGCGATAAATTCAATGACATCTTTAAGCTTGCGATTCTGATAACTGATCTTGTGGGCGCCACATCCATATGTTTCCATTTGTATTTGATAACCGAAAACCAGGATCCGCTGATGATTATCAAGTACATTTTGCCCACATTGGCCTTGGTGGTGTTCACCTTCGAGATTTGTCTGCGTGGCACACAGCTCGAGGAGGCCGTGAGTTAACCAAGATATTTATTGCCTATACAATATATGTATATGTACGATTTCCTAAGTCGTCCCGTTTGAATGAGGCTCTGTACAATCAAAACTGGTATATGGGCAGCAAGATGTATCGCAAGTTGATTCTAATTTGGATCAAATATGCTCAGTGTACCAGAAAGCTGACAGCTTATGGTTTGGTCGAGATCAATATGAAACACTTTTCGGATGTAAGTGACAGATACTCTTTGCATTTCGTGCACTTATCAATATCTTTATTTTTCAGATTATGCAGCTGGCGTACAGACTATTCACTTTTCTCAAGTCCCGACAATAAATCTAAGGCTTGGCTTGGGCATTCTTCGGTTTCACATTTTAGCCCAAATCTATAGTTATTCAAATTAGCCTGGTCACACTTTCACTTTGCGTAGGTTCCCCTTGCCCGCGTATCCTCTATACATATTTGGCTAACATTTGGTTTTAACATTAATGTTAATTCAATTCCTTCTGCGAGCTGCAATGCGCTTGAAATCTATGCCTATACAATCAATAATTATTTCTTTTAGATTTATCACCCTATTAACATTTAACATTAATGTTAAATTCTTTCTTCTACTTGCTTTTGTAGTGTACTGATTTGTTTTAACTGCATATTTTAATCTGTTTTTAATCATGGAAGCCTACCGTGATATTATTTCATTTGCATTTCGTTAGCTTTTAGATTTCGTAGAGCTTTAGTTCGTTTTATTATTGCACATTTTTTTAAGTATTTAACCAACTAAGCCTGGTTACACTGTTAGGATTTAACAGTGATGTTAAATATTTATCACGTGGTAAGTGGAAGTCAGCTTAATCTCGAATTTCGGCCACCTTATTGCATCGCAATGAAATATGGTTTTTTATTATTGTATTATTTATTTTATTTTTATATAACTTATGTACTTAGCATAGTCTGTGTTCACGTTTACATAGAATTTGTATACACAAATATATCTATCATATTAATATCCCATTTACAAACATATCAGCATCATAAAAATGATTATCTTTTGTTAGTACACTTTTTTGTTTTTGTTCTTTTTATATATCAGCGTGGTGTGTTCTCTCGGTTTCAACTTGGGCCAGCAAACAAACTGAATAGAGCTTTCTCGTAGGATTATTACATGTGTTAAAGGATGCTAATAAAAAGGATGTGTGCGAGACTATAAAATAAATAACATATCCATGTTGTTGCTGGTGTTGATGCCCGCGGCTAAATTCGTACGGCAACTCATAGAAGCAAGTGGAATGGAAAGTATGCTGCAATGTCAGACTGAACGCGACGACGACAACGTGAGGAAAGGATGAATATCCTGGTGCACGACGAGTTGAGTAGCTGAATGTGCCGTAGTTGACTCTTTCAAAGGGTTCCCCTTACAAGGGATAGGTGGCTGGCAAGGCACGTGGATAGTCGATATCGTACATTTGAGCTTTGATGAAGGCCAGCTTGCTCTCGGGCTCGGGCTGGACGGTGGCCAGGCCATTCTGATAGGCATAACAGACAATCCTCTCAGCTATTGCCAGCGAGCATTGGACAATCGAATTAAGTGGCGGATACAGGCTGCCTTTGTTTAGATCTTCCTTGTTGACCAGTTCGGCCAGACATTGGGCAGAGATGAGGAACACCTCCTCCGGTATGGTTAGCATGCCGGCGCACAAGACGCCCAGAGCCACGCCCGGAAAGATGTACGAGTTGTTGCCCTGGCCCGGATAAAATTTGCGTCCATTGTAGGTAACCGGTGCAAACGGTGAGCCGGATGCAAAAATACATCTACCATTTGTATAGGTATAGGCATCCTGGGCTGTGCACTCAGCCTTGCTGGTTGGATTCGACAGGGCGAATATGATGGGCGTCTCATTGATCTCGGCCATTTTCTCGAGAATCTCCTTAGTGAAAGCACCGCCCTGAGCGGAGGCACCAATCAGCACATTGGGGCGCACTTTTATCACCGCCTCCATCAAGGTGTCAATGGGCGTGCTGACCTGGGCAAAGTGCAGTTTATGCTCGGTGAGGCCGCCCTTTGGACGATCGCGCACAATCACGCCACGGCTGTCAAGGAAAATGGTGGGTTAGATGGATTGCCAGCAGAGATTCATACAAGCTCTTACCTGTCGACCATCCAGATACGTGCCTTGGCCTCCTCGTCGCTCAGGCCCTCCTCCTTCATGGCCATGGTGCAGAGGGTGGCAATTCCAAGCGCAGCCTCGCCGGCGCCCAGGAACAGCAGCACATTATCCTTGAGCAGTGTCTTCTTGATCTTCAGCGAGGCTAACAAGCCGGCGACAGCAACAGACGCGGTGCCCTGAATATCATCATTGAAGGTGCAGTATTTGTCGCGGTACAAAGATAACAAGCGGAAGGCATTGGCATTGCCAAAGTCCTCGAACTGAATGAGACAGTTCTGGCCAAAGCGGCGCACACAGGCGCGCATAAACTCATCGACAAACTCATCATACAGATCGCCTGTGGCGCGTGCCTGACGCAGACCCACATAGAGCGGATCGTCCAGTATGGACTGTGTGTTGGTGCCCACGTCCAAGGTGATGGGCAGGCACTGATGCGGCTTAATGCCAGCCAGAGCCGTATATAGCGAGAGCTTGCCCACGGGTATGCCCATGCCGTTGGCGCCCAGATCACCCAGGCCCAAGATGCGTTCACCGTCGGTCACCACAATGGCGCGCACATCCATCTCCGGCCAATTCTTGAGCACATCATAGACATGTCCCTTGTCCTTGATCGAGATGAACATGCCCTTCGGCTTGTGGAACACCAGGCTGTATTTCTCGCAAGCCAAGCCCACCGTGGGCGTATAGACCAGCGGCATCATGTGAGCAATGTCCGAGCTGAGCAGCTTGTAGAAGAGACGCTCGTTGCGCTCAGAGAGTCCAATCAGATACACATACTTGTCCAGATCGTTCTCCAGACGATTCAGCAGAATGCGGCAATGCTCCACCTGCTGATCATCGCTGCGCACCACATACGGCAGAAGGCCATGAATGCCCAACACCTGGCGCTCCTCATGTGTAAAGGCGAGACCCTAACATAAAGTATAATAAGAATAATAATTAAATTAATTATAATTACAAGGAATGGCTTTTCAATTGAAATAGAAAAGAATGTGATAAGGTAAGGTCGCAGCAAAGCCAAAGCCCATCGTTTGACCCGCGAATTGAACCGCCGACCTCTTTTGCTGATTAGCTTATTCAACGGCCGTCTGTTCACATATTTCATTATCTGGCTGAAACACTTATCAATCGAAGACCTTTGCGTAACGTGTGATCAAACGCCACGCGCCACAGACAACCTGGCGGCGCGCTTTACCGTGCTCGGGCTCGTGCCCAGGCGATGACAGACGCCTCTTAACTGACCTTCGCCGGATGCACTGTCAAATCTGATGGGCAGCGAGATTTGCATGCGAAATATGCTTGAAGTTCAAAGTCAATCTCTGGTCAAGCAGCTGTCGCCGTCTCGGACCATATACGCGCGATTACGAACCGGTATTCAAATGCGATGCGGCTAGAAGGGGCTTCAATTTGAAAGTCGAACCGTTTGCTGACTCAACCCGCGACCTCGATACCCAGCCGAGTGCTCAGAGCATGATTTGCAACTTTTGAAAGCGCTCAATTGTTTGTACTTAAAGTTTTTTTTTTTTTTTTGTTTATGCTATTGTGTAATTAACTGATATGGACTTTATGGAACTAAATATGTGTTTTAACGTTTTTCCCAACCTATAATATTATTTTTTTTTTGCTTGTGCAACTTCCCTGGAAGCGTCTATGCCTGAGGCTAGCTGACAAATTGCACATGAAAGCAGAAGCGCATTCTTTGAAGGCAATCGTGAATCGTGACAATACAAAGAATAACTGGAAGTTAACGTTTGTGCATTTGACATGTGCATAAATATACCTTCAAGTCAGGGCTAAGCGTTTAGTTTGAGTTTTATAAGAAGTTTGAGTTTGAGTTTTATAGAATGCATTATTCATATTTTTTATAAAGATATAATATTCTCTATACTGTAATTTCTGAAGATTTGAACCTCCTGTTAAAATTTAAACATGATTGTAATTTCCTGACAATTTGTTGTAATAATAAATAATAGCCAAATCGTTTGAAGTGAAGTTAGATGATTGCAAATTAAAGAAAAATCTGTTAATAGTATAGTAAAGACTTGTTGAATTAAATTGGCAGTTTGCGTAATTGTGCTTTGCATATATAACTATATACATGAGATCAGATATGCATGTTTTGGGCACATTAAGTCTACATATTGCGTACTTTTGAATGGTAAAAATAGCAAATTGAATAAATTAATTTTATTGCTATTTAAGATCTGATGACTAAACGAAGTTTAAATCTTAACAAGACAAGACGAAACCTATTGGGTTTTATTGCAAAAAAAAGCTCAAAAGTGCGTCATAAATTGGGTAAATTTCTTGCCAACTCAACTTGAGTAGAAATAAATATGTGAATGGGCAAAATTGTTCAATTAGGGCGTGAAAATTAACATCAGATGCGCCTGCCCGAGCTGTGGAAATCTACCACAGAAAACAGCAAATTAGTTTTAATCTAATCAAATCATTACCCCATGTGGCGGGAGCGTGTATGGATGAGTAGCCAAAAATGGCTTTGAGTGCCTGAAAGCAATTAACTAAGGCGTAGTCAGCGGTAATTAACTAACCGATAGGAAAACCAAACATTCTGGAATAGCTCGAATTATCGTTTATTTACGATACGTCATCATTGGATCTGATGAAATAGCGAGTGCGAGACCGTTGAAAACGACACCGTTGACATTGAAATGTTGCGCTCTACGATCTACGATAAGCGGGCGGTGCGCGAGATCGTTTGCCTGGCAACACGTTAGCTACCGTTCCAAAACACACACACACACACACACACAGTCATAGCTGTATACACCTTACACACACACAGCAAGCAGTTCCGAGCGCCTCACGCCTCACACGGCGTATACGCAATAAGCAAGCGTTATATTACGCATAAAACTTTGCAACAAAATTGCAAAAAAAAAAAAAAAACAAGAAATACAAATATATTTGCGGTGTCTGGCACGGCGGGATGTCGATCATCATATTCATTATCAGGGGGCAGCCGCCGTTGGCGATAAGCGTGCGCGCGGTAAGCGTGACTTCAAAGCGGCTGCGATGACGAAACCAGCGGAATTTACAACAAAAGATGACACCGTAACAGACACAGACACAGACAATTTCACACAAATTGCTTACCCTGTTAAAAAAAGGTGAAAGGTCTTCGCGGTGTGTGTGCTAACTGTTGCTAATGCATTGCGAATTGTGGGCCAGCGGTGCGAAGGGTGGGCTGCCGTTTCGCAAGCTGCAGATGCATAAATTGCCTAAGCTTAACAAATGTCTCAACCAATTTTATTTTAAGCACAAGCTAAGGCTTTCTTTTATGGAAAATTGCCTGCAACTAAGTTTAAACGCTTGCGCAGGCCGATGTGTAAAGCATTGCGATTGGTTGAGGGATCGAACCCACGAAAACTGCGTTCAGAACT